CGCTCGTTCTTGAGCTGCAACACGTTGTGAAAGAAGCCTTGCGCAGTCGGCTGAATCCCTCTTCGCATTATCATATTGGGTTGAAGTTGGGCATGACGGTGGGGTTGCGTGCTCTTTTTACATGGTGGTGGATATGGGCTCACCGGCCCAAACCAAACACCAAGAGCTGCGACAAAGAGGACAATTAGAAGACCGAGGGGGGGGGGGATTGCAAAGTTGCTTGACAACAAGGAGGAGGATTCGAAACTTTGGGCTGTGGATTGTCAGAGCAAAGTAGGGCTACACTACCAAGAAAACATATCGAGACCTTTAACATCGTGCCTTCTAATTCTAGGTACCTGCAATTTCACACGGCATGTGGCCTCGTGGCTTCCTTGTTTGACGAAACAGTGTGCTTCCTGCCTAGGTACCTATGGAGATACTCCTGCCCAGAGATTATTGATAGCGCCTTTCTCATGCCCTGAAAAGGCAATGACCCGCAGATTCCACTGCATGGATTGTGATACTCGGGCTCGTGCATCTCAAGCTTCATAAGAGACCACGAGCCTGTAACAAGCCGAACCCAAGCCTACAGTAATACCATCCATAAATTTATGCCTATCACACCCGAGCCACTTCATTTAGACATGCAAAGACGCGACATTGGACACGATCCAATCGTACGACGTGCTCCGGAAGTCATCAGCCAGCAGACTCGCGCCGTTATTGAAGAACTGCATCAGCTGGTTATTACTCGCCCAAAGCGGCCACTGCATCGCCACCGCACTGCTCCCAACGCTCGTACCCCCCGAGGCGTCGTTGGGATCGAGATTGTAGACAAAGTTGGCGTAGTAACTCTGGATGCTCTTGCTCGCGTAATTCGGCAGCAAGCCATAAAACACCCGCAAGAGGTCGGTCGCGTGAAACGTGCCCAGGATCGGCGTGCCGTAGTCGTAGCTAGCAAGGTACGACCAGGCAGGCACCGACGGGTTGAGCGTTACCGCCTCCGCCAGGAACGCTCGCCTGGTAAGAGTGAAGACCAGATCGCCCAATATAGCAGCCAGTCGCTTGAAGCCGGGATAGATCTCGTTGAAGATGCCCGTCCGGAACGGGCTGCCAGCCGTGAGAGATGAGTCGTAGGTGTCGACAAGCTCGGTGAGCTGCGCCTCGGTCGCGTCGTGGAAGAAGATGGTCGACAGGTAGTCAACAAGGTCAGACGTCGTCGAGGTGGTGTTGGCCTGGAACAGCGAGAACAGCGTGCCCTCGTCCTCCTGGTCGCCAATGATCATGGGCACCGCCGCGTACTGCCCGTTCTTGACCAGCACCTCCGGGCTATCCGTCAGCACGTTGCCGTCCGGGCGGGGTAGGTAGGACAGCGCGACGGAGCTGTAGGACAGGAGGGCGGGGACCGAGTTGGCCGCGTTCAGGAAGGTCTGGTAGTCCACGCCGCGCAGGCAAGCGAGGGTGTCACTGGCTGCGGAGCAACCGGCCTTGGCGACCACCGTGTTGTACACCGCCTGGCCCTTCGGACAGTCGACTGGGTCGGCAGGGACGATGGATCCCGAGTCCATGATTCCCCCACGAAACAAGGGTTGGCCGTTGTACTTGTTGTTGCCGCCGTACAGGGCCATCTGGTCAAACACCGACATGGCACCGGCTGATTCGCCCCAGATGGTTACCTTTGACGGGTCGCCGCCGAAGGAGGCGATGTTGTCGGCTACCCACTCTAGGCCCATGCGCTGGTCGAGCAAACCCAAATTGGAGGAGCCATCGGCTAGAATCTCCTTTCCTGGCATAAAGCCAAAGCCACCGACGCGATAATTGACGGCAACAAAGACGTACGGCTTGCCCATGGCCACAGCGCTCGCTACGAGGCTAGTGGGGTCGTACATCGATGTCCAACCCAGCTGTCGCGCTGGTCAGCTACGAAGTCGGAAAAACCGCGCATGTATCAGGGGCTCTGGGCTCACCTCAAACGCGCCTCCGAAGATCCAAAACAGCACGGGCAGGTTATCACCCGCCGTTGTGCCCGCGGGTCGGACAACATTTAGGTTTAGGCAATCCTCGTTCTGGTCGGTGACGGTCTGGAAGAAGGGCAGGTCGACAACAGTGCTGAGAATCTCGCTAATAAGGTCATTTGACCCGGTAGACACGAAGAACTGCGGACAAGCGGCGGCTTGCCCCGTAGCGTCGAATGCTGCCAGGGTCGACGAGTTCCGCTTGACAGGCGGCTTCAAACGAAGCTGTCCCGTCGGCGGTGACGCAAAGGGGATGCCGTTGAAGGCCTCGGTGACCGAATTGGAGGTGCCGACAACGCTCCCTCCCGAAGACATGGTGACGGTGGGGTTGGCCACCCGCTCCTCAAGCACCGGCGAAGGTGGAAGCGGGCGTGGTGCCGGCGCAGCAGCCACTAGCCCGAAGAGAGCAAGGGCTGTGCCGAGAAAGAGGTCCTTCATCTTGTCGGCCTGAGGCGAGACGATACCGTGCCGTGGCAAGGGAACACCAGAGTGGGAGGACAAGCACGGAGTTGGGAAGGGAAGGTGCAGCTCCTGTCTCACGACCTCGCCGATCACTGACCAGCAAGAACTGAGACTTGATACGGCCTATTATAGTTGACGATTTCCATTCTGTGCTGCGGTAATCGGAGGATTTAGAAAGAGCGTTTGCAGGTACGACGTCACGGTCGCAGCGCACGTTGTATTCGCGAAGCCAGCAACAAGCAACTTTTAGTCAAACTCCCCTTTTAGAATTTAGGGTCGTCGTACGCCATGACACTAAACTCGGTGGCGGCAGCTACCCCGAGACACTAGTCTCTCCCTAGCCGCCATGGTAGACACATGGCCACGTACAATCCAACGTAACGGTACATGGAGCCCCGTTTGCTGTGGGCTATGAGGGGACCAAGTCTCGCGACAGCATCCCACATTCGGGAGCACCCGAGCACTCGTCGTCGGCCGTTTTCCTGTCCTGTCCTGTCCATATCTCCTTTATGCAAGCGGTCAGCTGGGCTGTGAAATAATCCCGGTACCCCATGGGGAAATCTAGAGGATGGTTGGCTGGCGCGGGCTGCCAATGCAACGGCCGCTAGCTTGTGCGATCATCATAACTAAAGGAAGGGTATATGTCGCGGAGCATGGCGCGCACATGGGGCTGATTGGTGGTGTTGGACTGAGGGTGGGATGCAAGGGAGGACAGCGAAGCCGTGTGTGTGCCATGTGCCATTCGGTCATTTCTGTGCCTTTATGTGCGCGCATGTGAAAGTGTTTGTGTGCCTGGCAGGGTAAGGTAAGGTAAAAGCCTCGGCTCAGGATTGGTAGACAGGGCGGTAAAGCATGCATAAGAGAAGATCGCGCTCGGTAGATCTATGCACTTCACAGAGCCAACTGAGGGGTAAATGGATGCAACGAATGCAACAAAGGATGCTGACAGCTCCGAAAATTTTGGGGTTGAGAAGTTCAATAAAGATGTTGATCCCTGGTATATGGTGGGATGGAATGTTCCGTTGGGTGGTTGGAAATGTGTGGCAGCGTGCAACCGTCACGGGACACCCCGCCTCGATCGGACCGTTAGGTTTCGGATCGCGCGGTAGTTACCGCATACTTTCAGTCAGACCGGAAAAAGCTAATTTGGCGCTAGTGATGCCAAGGTGCTTCCCCATATTTCCAGTCCTGTTGCACATGTTGCAATCTCGTGTGAATCGGTCTTTGCTTTTTCCGAGACCCGTCAATCGGCGCTGCCAAGATTTCCGGAACTGGTTTGGATTAGTGGCCCATAATCTACTTGTTCCGGCTATCTAAGCGACTTGGCTGCAGATGATCTGCCATTAGCTTTTTCCGGTCTGACTGAAAGTATGCGGTAGTAGGGAGCCCTGTAGGGTAGACTGCACGGCATTGTGTAGTCGGCGGTGAAGAAGTAAACTAGGAAGTTTTGTAGTGCTTGGCATTTTCCACTTGTAAGAATTTGGAAAGAACCTTGGAAGTTCTCGTATCGAGAGGAAGGTCCTATCCCAGATGTTCATGCAGCCAGCGTTGGAATGCGGGGGTGGGGTCCGGGGGACTACGTGGGGAGCAAACTGGCTGTGCAGAATGATCCACAGCGGGATCGTTTCCCTTTCCGTCATTCAACTCCGGCGCCATTGGTTCAAGAATTTGGAGTCCAGTCTTGGGTCCCGTCTCGCTTGTATGCACGCAATATCCCATGTCTGCCGTAAACTGAAGGTAGTGATTCATGGATATCGCCGCCTGAGGCTCCATATGTATTGCACATTACAGGCCCGAGGAGGCTCCCTGGGCAGGGAACGGGAGCATGGTCAGTCCGATTCGGAAGACCATCCGTATCGATGAATGATTCGTTACATGCCCGTGGTACTAGTATTGAGAGCAAGTGATGTACGTTCACTAGGAGTGTGTCTGGTGTGGATGCTGTACCCCCACTTGATCGTATCCGTATCTGCCTGTACGCTAATTCAACTTGTTGGTCCACGACTCGGAACTGAAAGGGTTCATCGTTGTTGCCCTGAGGCCTGAATGGAGGATGTTCAAGAATGCTCCGATCAGTACTACATCGCTGGCCAATGAAGATATGAATATGGGGTTAAGGAGTCAGAGTCGACTATAGTTGGTTGATCTTCAGGAGTCTCCGGAAGCTAGAACTACAAACATTGGCATGTGAAGTCCTGCACTGTAAGTACACGTATTCGTATCTGGATGCGACCTGAACAACAGGATCCGAACATCCGGGATCTAAGCTCTAGATGCAGCCCATTGGCGGAAAGAACCACGAGGGGGGAATACTCCTCACATTCACATAGCACTCCGTAAAAGAACTTGCTCTTCATATGATTGTCGTTGCTGAAGCCGAGGCGACAGTCCATTCAAAGCATGCAGCATTGCTATAGATTGAGAAGAATCGACCTGTAGCTTCTGATCACGGGCGAGGAGAGGATGAGGGGTTCATGTCGGAGTGTTACGGTGGTTTGTTCCTGATGCCCGGAAGCAACAAAAAGAAGCAACAAAAAGAAACACTCCGACAGGGAGTCGAACCTTACGCAACCGAACCTTCACTCCCTATGAGAGTCGGTCATGTTAACCGATACACCACCGGGGTTTTCATTGCTGACTCCTCAGCGGCAGGAACGGCGTGCAGCAAGGAAGATTTGCTGACGTGGCTTCATAATGACGTCCACGGTGTTGGCAGGAGAAGATGGGAAGGAGCAACCTCAGGGTGACTGCCTGCGATGGGATACGAGTAAGAGCACCCGATCTCGGCCAAAATATGGAAGGCGCGCTGCTTCGTGCGGTCATGCCCCGTCACTGGCGGCCAGTGACACGTGTTCCGCGGCAAGCCTGCCTGCCCTGCTATCGGTGGAGTGTGGGTATGTTCTCTCGTGGATGTTCGCATCGAAGTTGTATAACGCACGTCTGCTCGAAACTATCGGGACATGTGAATGAATGAACCTGGACGCGGAGGGTCTGATTACAAAGTTTGACTTTGTAGAGAAGAGCTCATCAGTTACATGATCAAAGGGGAAACAAAGGGAAGTTCGACTCCCTCTGTTGCGGCCCAGTCCTCTGACTTCCCCATCCTCCATGGGGATGAACGTGTATAGACGCTACTGCGCCCTGATGCTGTCTGATTTCCTTGATGGGACAATCATCGATGGAGTAGGTATTTAGTTTTTATACAGTACGAATAAACCGAGTCTTTATTTAACCCGACCCGTACTATAACCCTAGGCCTGTCACCCCTTAGGTGATGGTGGGAGTACCTAGCAAGGGGCGGGGCTGACCTGTGGCCAGACATCCATGCATGGGGTGCGGTTGGGGACCTAAATAGTTTTTGTCTCTACACACATAATGAATAACTCTGCTAAAATACTGATGATATATTCTCGTCTAGGGATCAATTCTTGTTTGAAGTCCTCATTTTCACTCAAGGATCAATGATACAAGTCTGATATTGCTATCTGTTCATCTCTTCATCTCATACCTCACATAAGTCACATAACTGCCAGTTGCGATGGGCTGCCTGGGACGTAAGAGGTGATATCAACCGTAATGAGCATGCCATGTCACCTTATCCATAGCTGACAAGCTCTGAAGTTTATTGCAGTGTCAATTGCTATCTAATCAACATATCCATCATCATATGACCAAGTCATTCCTCTACGTCCACAACTCTTGCACCCACGATACCTAAGAAGGGATGGCTCAGAACTTGTTGATCTCATCATTGACAACGTTATTGATCTCGGGGTCGGCAGCGGCGGGCATGCCCTCCTTGCTGGCGAAGCCGTCGACCGCTAGTCCACAGGTTCCTATCAGCACCGCCCCAAGTATAAGTGAATGTTAGACGGAATGAAGAGGACGTACCGGAGTCAGCAACGGTATCCCACTTGGCGTCCTTGCCGGTCGAGTCGTTGGCGGTTTGGTTGGCGGAGCTGCACACATCCCAGATTAATACTGTTGCTCTTTTTGAATGAACGATGGATGGGAGGGGGGTTTGGGCCGAACGGGAGTGTTGAGGGGTGACGTACTCCTGCCCGTCAACAGCGTTCTCAACCTTCTTGAAGTCGTCGCCGAGACCCATTTTATCTACTGCTTAGGTGTTGTACGAAAGATTGTACGGAGGTGGTAGTTCGATGTCAAGACGTCAAAGTCGTTGCGTTGATGGTGATGGATAATGGATGCAGAAGAGAAGGACAGTCGTTGTCCTATATACCCTTGTGTAGAAAAGGCGTGGGCTACGTCACTTCAACTTTGCATGTGAGGCGAAGCAAGGGTTTTACGTCAATTCCATGGTCCTGCCCCCCACGACGGAACGCGCATGTGCAGTTATGGGATGAAGCGAAGGATGGGATGTCATCATGCCAGCAAACCAGACGCGGGTTGGGGGTGATCGACTGTCCAAGCGAGGGAGCGGCATCAACTGGACGCGAATATGCACATGGCACAGCGTAGTCACGAAACAAAACCGGCAGGAAATCTGGACGAATGGTAGGCAAAGGGACAGGATAATACTTCACATGCAAATTGTCAGATAATGCGCGCTATCGAGAGCGATAAAGGCGTGGTGCGCTCAGGTAGGTAGGACGCTTTTGATTCGATAGATAAGACGCACAGCTCCACAAGGTAGAAAGGAGAAGCAGCTCGTGCCAAGAATTGAGGCTCGAAACCAAGCTTTTCGGGGCTGAAGTCTGGACCTTAACTGAGCGGAGCTGGGAGTGGAAGCGGGGTGCTTGTTGTGGTGGTTGCTTTTTTCTGGCGTTATGGGCTGTTTTGATGTCATTCTGCTGGTTTCTTGGAAGGGGTAGCAGACACTAACTCCATGGCTTGTCATGGCTGCATGCGATGACGACGGCGGGGTAGCTTACAGGATGCGGAACGACGAGTTCGTCTGGATCTTATTCCATCATAAAGAGACACTGAGAATAAGCCTTGAAATGGGAATGGTGAAGCTTAGATAAGGCCCCAAGGCAATCAAGACGAGAGTTGACAGCGATGAGGCGCGGCGGCATTGACAACAGTTTGCATTGCACGACACTATGAAGGTTAGGTAGACACGCACGCGAAGATCATCTGGATCAGATCTCGACTGCACGCAAACATGTGCTCAACGATAAGACTGTACGCTCGCAAAACGCGGGGTCGTAAACCATCCGTGACCCCATGGAGGAGAGAGAAAAGGAAAGAAGAAAATCACAAATTCCACAAAAAGCCACCCATTTCCGGCCATTTTCCCATTCTCATACGGGAGCATCCATGTTCTAGATTAAGCTCCATCTGCCATGCTGAAATGCCTCAAAATCCTTGCCTGCCCGCCTAAACACCGTTGGGGTATATGAACCATCATGTCCCGTCTTGCCATTCATATCATCCCGTCGTATATAGTGTATGTCTTCCGTATGTTGTTCCCCTACGTACGCCGTGAAAATGGACCTTCTAAGCCGTTCACCATGAGAACATCACATCGACGCCTACTTCTAATAGACCTCGAGAGTGTTAGTGGCCGCCCGTGTCGTCCGTCGCCTCTTAGCGTCGGGACTGAGCACAGGTTGGCTGTCCGAACTGCTCGGTGGATCCTCCTCAAAGCTACTGTTCAATACCTCGGCTAGAGGCTCCCTCTCCGCGCGTCTCCTCTTAAGAGTCGAGACTGGAGTAGATGGCTGCTGCGGCTCCACGAGGGGATCCCACATCTTGATATGGTTAAGCTCCTCGATATCAGCGACGCCGGCGATCTCAGTCCCCAACGCCTTGGCGAGACGTTCTTTTAACCCCAGGATCGGCCAGAAGGGCACAGTAGTGTAGCAGATCTTCATCCCTGAATCACCGTCCTTTTCGCCTTCAGGGAAGACTGGTGCTTTTGTTGGGTCGTGGAAGCGGTCCAAGAAAGCAGGTGTCACGACAGTGGAGTAGATAATGAAGTTTGGATTGCTGGTATCGCTGTCCTCGTCGTGTGTGATGATGTGAAGCTTGACTTCTTGGAATCGCCTGACAGTGACCCTGCTTGGAATTTTAGGACGCGATGATCTTGATGGTCGCGATGGGAATGGTTGTGATGGCAACGGGTGCTGGACATCATAGAAATGCGCCTGTGCCATAGTGAGGAACATGCCGACCAAGAACGGGTCATGGTTGGCATTTGCGGGGACCAGATTTTTTGACCGTAAGCGTTGTAACGACTGAACCGGCCCGTTTGGGGTACCGTTCGGCCCTGACACAACTCGAAAGAGGTTGGACCGTATCATGGCAAGGTGTGATTTGCTAATGTACGCCAGCATTGGCTGGTTCGGTGCCAAGGACTGGCTGTTGGGACAGTCGCGGCCACTGGTACCATTTCTGGAGAAGGACGTGGATGGTAGTGTGGGAGCAGAGTCGAAAGAAGTCTCGCAACCGCCAGGGCTCTTCCAGAGACACGGTACCCGGATGGCCTTCTTGAAGAATCGCGGGCCGAAGAAGAGATCAAGCTCGGCCGCGGTCTTGGGGTGCGATAGCGTGGTTGGGAAGAGGGTAGACATGACATGCTTCATGGCGCGGTTCTTGCAGAAGGCGCGCCCCGGAGTTGTGTCCGGCTTGATGAGGGCATGGAGGTCGGTAGTGAGGTTCCTTGCCATCTGCGACGGCTCAAGCCATCGACCCGGAACATTATCCGGGACCGGTTCCGATATTGTCGGGAGCTGCTCGAAGCGCACGCCGAGAAGTTTCGCGTGGAGGTCAGTCCAGCAGATCGGTAGCGAGTAAAGCGACGTGCCGCAGTGCTCATGCATGATATCATAGAGAGAGCCGGGTTCAGGTTGAGTGATCCGGGGTATGCGCCGTCTGCGTGGTTGCGCGCTGGCGCTGCTCTGCTTTGGCGTTCTGCTGCACCGCTGCTCGCGGCGTGCGGCACCATCCTCGTGGCACGACGTAGCCGACATGGCGAAAAGTGAATGCAGCGATCCGAAGAAGCTGTTGTTAAATATGGACCTAGGGCGGGACAGCACGGCGCGTCAGTAAATTCCGCGACGCGGGGTATGTCGCAATTGAGAGCTGAAGTCCAGTCGATTGCGAGCCGTTGTTGCGCGGAGCGTGACTTACTCAATCGAGAGCATCAAAGGGACGCCTGGTCGTCTCACCGGATAGAGCCCCAGTGGTGGGAGGACTGGTTGAAACCAGATCCGAGCAGCCCTGCGCCGGCGGTTAGCCCCCCCGCACAATAACACAGAAAGCGCGCGAAAATTGACAGGGATAGATCTACTCACTTAAAAATCGCGACAAAGATGTGATCGATGGAGAAATACTCAAAATTCGCGAAAACTTCAAATAAACTGCTCTTCATAAAGGAGAGCAGGGAGGCGATTTGTTGGAATGAAGAATTTGGTCGCGTGAAGTGAAGCAGGGTGTGGGCAATGCGTTGGCTTAATAGAGACCGCCAGACCGCACACAATAGGAACGCAAGAGAGACACGGGAAGCGCGGGGCCAATCGACAGGCACGTATCGCGAGTGGCGCTCGGACCAGCTCGCCACCTTGGTTGGCGCGAAGAAGACACGAAATCACGGGCAGCTCGGGTGGAGGGGCTCCGCTAGGCACCGATGCGTCAGAAGTCGAGCCGAAGCAACAAGCTGAG